CTCCTGAGCTCAAACAATCCGCCCGCCTCGGCCTCCCAGGGAGCTAGGATTATAGGCGTGAGCCACCGCAGCGCCCGGCCCCAGCCACCACCTTTAACTGGAAGTCTACATCCTCATTTTAATAGCTGCATTGTGTTCCACTTAATGGCTTTTCCTGTTGATGGTCATTTATATTGTTTTCACTTTTAATATTTTATTTGTTTGTTTGTTTAAAGATAGGGTCCTGTTCTGTTGCCCAGGCTGGAGTGGTGTCATCATAGCTCACTGCAGCCTCAAACTCCTGTGCTCAAGCGATTCTCCTACCACAGCCTCCCAAGTAGCTGGGACTAATAGGCACCCACCACCACATCTGGCTAATTTTGTTTTATTAATTACTTTTTGTAGAGACAGAGTCTTGCTATGTTGCCCAGGGTGATCTTGAACTCCTGGCCTCAAGTGATCCTCCCACCTCGGCCTCCCAAAGTGCTAGGGTAATAGGCATGAGCCACCATGCCTGGTCCAGTTTTAATTATTTTATACAGAGATGCTGTAAACATACTTGTATGTATACTTCTGGTACATTTTTTGATGGAATTTCTGAGTCAAAGTGTATATATATTTTAAGGCTTTCAAATACAGTGCCAAATTATCCTTCCTAACAAAAATATTATATTCCCATCACAGTATGTGAAATGCTTGGTCTCCTCATCCTTGCCAACACAAGGAATTTTCATTTTGTTTACTTACTCATTTTTTAAATTTCCATTCCTTTAAAAATTTGGTGAGGTTGACTACATAAAACAATTCTGTGAATTGCCTGTTTATGGCATTTGGCCATTTCTCTGGAGGATGTTTATTTTTTCTGATTGGTATGGAAAAGCTCTTTATATAATAAAGATTAACCTTTTATAAAATGTTGAATTACTTTTCTCCAGTTTTCCTTTGCCCATGAATCACCCAGGCTGAATTGCAGTGGCATCATCACACCTAACTGCAGCCTCAAACTCCTGGGCTCAAGCGATCCTTCTGCCTCAGCCTCCCAAGTAGCTGTGACTAAGGCACACACCACCACCTATGGCTAATTTATTAAACTTTTTTTTAGAGAAGGGGGTCTCATTATGTTGCCTAGGCTGGTCTAGAACTCCCCGCCTGAAGCGATCCTCCTGCCTCAGCCTCCCAAGTAGGTGGGATTACAGGTACGAGCCACTGTGCCCAGCTCAATGCCCTTTAATTTTTAAAATATATATTCTTGTTTACTGTACTTAAAGTGGCTTTTTCATTATACAAATAATATATGATAATTCTAAAGAATTCAAACAATAGATAAAAATATAAATAACAAGGTAAAGGCCACACAAAACTCCATAGCCGTGCAATAACCATCATTAACATTTTGGTGACCATCTTTAATTTATCTCTTTGTGCATACACACACATGCACATATTTACCTAAATGGGATCACATTATATATGTTGTTTTTATTGTAAACACTCCCTCCCCTCACCCACGTCTCACCCCTGCCCAATGCTCATGGTAGGCCATGACAGCAAACTAGAATGTGCATATCCATATTTTCCTCCAGAGCTATGATAAAATCTTATACAAACCCACCCATACGTATGCATACATGTATACACGGAGATGTGTAATGACTTTGTCATTATTTATTTTACAGAATTAGAATTTTCTTTTTCTGCGTCTTGCTTTTCTCTTTGAGCAATAGCTTATGGAAGTCCCCATATGTCATCTGACAGAGTCTCATTTCGTTCTTGTTTTTTCGTATTTGTTTTGTTTTGTTTTGACAGAATCTCACTCTGTTGTCTGGGCTAGAGTGCAATGGCGTGATCATAGCTCACTGCAACCTCCAACTCCTGGGCTCAAGCGATCCTCCTGGCTCAGCCTCCCTCAGCTAGGACTACAGCCATGCACTACCATGCCTGGCTAATTTTTTTTATTTTTTGTAAAGACAGGCCGTCACTATGTTGCCCAGGCTGATCTTGAACTCCTAGCCTCAAGCAATCCTCCCTCCTTGACCTCCCCAAGTGCTAGGATCACAGGCATGAGCCACCTCACCCAGCCTTCATTCCTGTTAATGTATGTTCTGCAAATTACTGTGCAATTATCCGCTAAGAGTAAAGCTACAGTAAGCACCATACATGTATGTCCTGTTATATTGGTACTTGTATTTTAATGGGACAGATTTATAGCTATGGAATTAATGGGTCAAAGGATATTACATTTTTACTTTCAATAGTTTTTATTATAATAGATTGCCTTCCAAAATGCTTTCAGCCCTTGTCTTTGCCATAAGCAACGTGTGGCAGTACTTTCCTCACTATCTGTGGTAACTTTTCCCCGTACTGAAGTCCCTTATTGTTTCTGCCTTTGTGTCATCTTTTTTTTTTTTTTGAGACAGAGTCTCACTGTGTTGCCCTGGCTAGAGTGCCGTGGCGTCAGCCTAGCTCACAGCAACCTCACACTCCTGGGCTCAAGCGCTCCTCCT